GTCACTAAAATTATCTGTTTTTCTAAAAAAATCCGGATTTTTTGGGCTTGAGTCCGGTACTAATAATAGAAGACCGGGCTCTAATCGGGAAAATCCGTGATATTCGATCAAAATCATCAAGAACTTATAAGATCAACAATTTTGAATGGGACATACTGAATGTAGCTAATTATGCCACAGTACTGTCGAAAGCACCGGAGAAGTTTAATCGTCTGGTGACGCAGCTGTTTAAGCCGCGACGTCTGCAAACATATTTAAGATTATGGGTCAATAATCGTGCTGAGCACGAAATCGGGTGTGAAAACACATTGAACTCCTGCAAAGAGTACATGCAATGATCCAGGTCCTATTACACATGTCGTGTGGACCACACGCTTGTGTGTGCTGGACATTAACTATACACGCTGTAAAGTTGTAAATACCCTTTAGTTCTGTTGTATCAGAACTGAAGGTACTTATCAGGATAGCGAGGTTTAAAGCCTATTGGTTATATTAATATATGTCACTTCAACTTTCCTCCTCTACGTAAGTCAACAGCTCACTGGAAGTGATCATCACGCGGTGAGGCGTGTCAGTTGCCTTAAAACTTCCTCAGTAAGTGTGTGTACATGGACGGGCAATCCCCGTTACACTTGGTAGCACTAGTAGTCGTTTCAACGCCGACTACTGCAATGGATTCACCTATGGATATGGTGGACAGGTCGCCCTCAGATCAACAGGGAGGAATATTTGTGCCCAACACACTCGCAGCGGATAATCGGAATAACGTGGTCTCCGACATGCTCCATTTGGATCAAGAAGTGATAAGTCAACGCATATTATATTTTGTTGTGTATGAGCAAGGATTATTGGAATTTTTATCACAGAGCATACCGACGCCAGTTCCATCACCTCCACCACAAGTGGTGGTAACACACGAAACGTCCCGAAAAATCGAGGTGAAAAGCTTTCACGAAAACGAAGGTGATAATCTTGCTTTTTCGCAGCGAGAAACAGATTTCACTTTCGCGGTGGCTCAAATTCGTGATGATCGCAGTCAAGTAGCGCCGCATTTGGATGGTCATGCGTAGGATTAGGCGATGATATGGGAAGTCGACCGCCCTGGCTAATTTGCCACTTGGCAAGTGTTAAAGAGGGTCAGGGAATCGATGTTTCTTCCGCCGAATGTAGTATAACGACAACGGTCAAAGTTTCTGTCATGCCGTCAACACAACGGCAAATTGTACGACTAGTACAGAATCCCCGTGATCTTCGTGCCAGTACGGCAAGCAAACAACTGCTAGAGGCAGTGATGGTCACTTTGTTTATAGTGAGACTCGCTTATGGTTTTCCTAAGTCTGAAGTTTTTCGCCAGAGTTCAACGACTCTGGAAGATGCAATTATGCGTGCAATGCGTGAGGACTACTGTCAACGTCAAGCACGTGGTCAATCAGTCATCCATGGAGCCAGCTGCTGCTACTGCTGGAAACTGGAATTAATGGGTCCTACTGCTGTAACAGTCCGGAGGCAGAAAAACATTGCTATAGTGGATGTCAACAGCTTGGTCACGTTTGCCGTGATGGTACATATGGGAGACAACCTCTCAATACAGTTAGTGTCGTAATGGTTCCAAGCCACGTGGTACCGATATTACGAGGCGTTCGAGAATCGCCGGTACCCAGTAGACACAGGGCGGACGCGGGGGCAGTTATAAACTCATATGAGTGTGGTGGTAGAATCAATCATGACGTTTTATCCCTTGAACGGTCGTTGTCCTTCGTTAGCGACATGAGTCGAAGTGGTCTCCTCGTGGCCACAGCGAGTGTGAAAGATTGCGGTTGTCTGTTTAGAGTCTTGATTGACTCTGGCGCGCCGCGTGACTACGCGCGGAAGCAAAATGTTGCTGAATATAATTCAGTGCTTTTGCAGCACTTAATTGAATCGATGGCTTTATGAAGGTGGCCATTGGTGCGGTGATCACCGCGAAGAAAATTATGGTTGATGTTCAAGTAAAATTTGAAGACCCTAAGTCGAAGGAGGTATTCACAGTCTTCGAGATAGACAAACGGTGCGATCTGATTTTAGGTATACTGAGAACTTCGAAGTAATTGACTGCGGCTGTATATGCTAATACTCTCACTAATACAGTGGTGGAGTCGGATTGTGGGTCAGTGGTTACATCTGATCATAAAGGTAATACCTCCAACCGTTGTGTGGCTGAGCACACAAATGTTAAGGAATCAACGAAATTTGTTGATACTTTTACTCCTGCTCTGGTGTGGTTGAGTCCGTAGGTGAGTTAGTCCAGCTTACTTCTCCCCGTGAAAGAAGCTGTAGCATGCAAATATGCTTGTTGAAGTACTGTGTATGCAACGACTGGTTGTGGAAACGACTGGTTGTGAAATTACCAGAACAGATTTCGTTTTGGCCCCGTTACCAGTTAGTGCAGCTTGAAGAAGTCACTTACGATGACTTCCGACACGACCTCAAGTGCGATGGTATTGCGGAGGTCGTGATGCTACAGTCGAAGTAGATTCAGCGATCTATGTTCATCATCAATTATAGGTGATTTGGTTCTCGAAACATTTCCACAGCGTGTGGAATCACGCACACGACCTGCTATTTTGAAGGTTCTAATTGATCCTTGTTTCTCACTTGTAATTGAATCCGAAGATGACATCCTTAGTGTGGAGCCGCCCTCTGATCTTCCACCCGAACGTGAAGTTCGATATGAAATTGATCGTGAATCTGGTTCAAAGCATGCAGTGCTTGACAGTGGCTAGTATATCGAAGGGGTATTTACTTAAAAGCAAGCTGCTAATTTGGTGAGGGAGAACGCCCCCTCAAAGCGAGCCGATGTTTTGTGTGCGCAATCCAAATGGTAAATGGCGAATCGCTCACGCCTATAACAAATGTGCAGACGATTCCCGCTCTAATGCCAGCTCCGCGTAAAGATGTCACCATTTACCGTATATCCGGCTGTATGTAGTTTAGTGTACTTGATTTAGTTGATGTATATTACAAAATATTGATGAGGGAGGAGGACGTCTCTTTAGCGGCTGTTCGTACACCGTCCAGTAAGCTATGGGAGTAGTATGTGATGCCATAAGGACTACCTAATGCTTCAGCAAGGTTCATTTGATTGGTCTCCTATCTGGTTGGACCACTGCGAAGGTATGCATAAACATATGTTGACGATATTTCGTTTCTTCGAAGGGCGAAGATGGCAGATCTGCCGAAGAATGGCACTTGGAGCACCTCCGTCCAGTGCTACAATGTATGCGCGCACATTCGCTGCAACAAAATGTATTTTCGGTGCTAACGAAGTACCGGTCTTCCGTTGTTATGTTGGTGAACATGGTGTTTGTGCAGACCCTGAGGAAATCAAAGCAATCATGAAATGACTAACGCAAAGAAAACAAAAGGATTCGAGGAAAATGGATTGGTTTGTCCTATTTTCTTGCATTATTTCTCGCGTGACTACGCGGAAATGGTACGCTCACTACTAAACTTGCTGAGGAAGAACGTACCATAGGAGTAGTCATCCACCTGTGAAAAAGCATTCACTCAAATTAAGAAGCGTTTGATAAAAGCACAATTATTTGCTTTACCAGAGGATACGAAGCCGTATAGCGTGGTGTGTGATGCTTCTGAGTATGTAATCGGTTGTGCACTATAGCAAACGACTCAGAAGGACACAATCGTTTCAATCGCGACCGCAGAAGCCAGTTAAAAAAGATATATCCTGTCAATGACAAGGAGCTTTTGACAATAAAATTTGCTCTGGTGAAGTGTTGTGCGCACCTCTTGGGCTCAACTACGTTTGTCATCTACATGTGTCACCCAATCTACATATATGAATGATTGAGTATCGTCTTCCATGACCAGCTGCAGTTCAATCCCCTCATTTGTCACAGCGGATGGCTCGCTGGTTGTCATTCTTCGCAGTATACAACTTCACGGTCGCGTACAAACCGAAAATAGAACGTGCTCGCTGACGCATCGTCACGACGTCTTGAATATGAGCTAACTCATATGAGTTATAACGAAACCATGCACTCGATATGATTTGTCGAGCGTATGTGGAGGGTGAACGGTGTGATTTGGTCATCAACGTACTCTCATCGACCGATATGGAGCTCCACAACATGCTATCGGTCGCTTGAAATCACATATGCATCGTTATGCACTTAAAGGTGGTCTCCTTCACTACGAAGTTGCGCATGGCGATGAGCCACGGGGTGTGGCTCTCCACAACTGTGGTGTGAAATACAGGATCTTGTATGAGGCGCATGATACGTTGGTGGCTAGTTACTTTGGCCGTAAGAAGACCTATCAATCATCAGTGCTCAGTATTGGTGGCTTTGCATGTACAAGTGGGTTGCACGATACGTGAAGACATGCAATGATTGCCTGCGATGTCTGTCAGCGCGTGAAGATCGCACGCCACTACGGAGTCTCCCTGTTCCTATTGACTATTGAAAGTCAGTCGCTCTCGTCTCTATATTCGGTTTTCCCGAGAATACTGATGATTACCATGGAATGCTCGTCTTCGTCTACTGACTCAATAAGATGGTCTTCATCGCTCCATTTTGCAACTTCATCGAAGCCGAAGGTTCGGCTAGATTGTTCATTAATTAGTTTTATGCAATCACGGGTTGCCGGGTGCCATCATCTCCGATCGTGTCATACAATTCACGAGTGACTTTTGGAAAAGATTGTTTCGAATTCTTCGCACTCGCTTGGTTATGTCCACAGCGGTATATCCGGAGGCCGATGGGCTAACAGATCGTGCCACCCGAGTGGTCGGTGATGTGTTGAGAAGCTTCAGCGTAAAAATTCGCAGTGTGTGGGTCATTTTTAACATTGGTAGAGCTTGATTCGGCTCATTCACCTGCTGCTTGCAACATCCGCAAGTTCCGCTTTGTGCGATGGGTAGTGTTTTGGTGTGATTGGGAGAGGAGCTCGGCAAATTGTTGCCTCCAAAATTGACACAATCAATGATGCGAATATGAAGCGCAAATATATGGACACCCTGGACTCATCCATCATGAGTCGTGTGAATGTGATCACATGAGTGCGAGATGAAACGAACAAGGCACAAGATTTAGAAGGAAATACGCAGATAGATGAGATCGTCAAGGCAAAACGTTTTATTTGTTGAAGAATAGTTCAGAGTAATACTAAGAATCTATCAGATGCGGTCTCAAGCTTGGAGCTCGAAGCTATTGCCTCGCTCCAGCGGTCCATTCCGAGAAGTGTCATGTCAAGGGAATACTTACACTATCAACCTACCAAGCTGGCTAAGGACCCATCCAACGTTCTGCGTAGGGCTCCTGAAACCCTGTCATGGCGACGATGCGATTTCCAACATGGATGTAGCGCAGGATACAAATGTGGCTATAGAACCACGGCTTCGGCAGGAGGGTCGAAGGTTATATCCCTTGGTATCATCGCCTAACCATCGCCCTAAAAATGACGAGAATTATCGAGAACGCCAGAACAGAGCGAGGTCACATGGCAAGAGGCCCACATCATCAGCTGAAACAGTCGCAGCAGGAGGGAGTGCTTGCAGAGACTGCTCAAATCGATGGGTCCAATTCTCGTAGCACCCCCAGGCGAGTTTCTTGACGTCATGCGAAGTCGTGAACTTCGCGAAAGGCCTGTCGATAACCCTTCACGCGTTGTCGCGTTGACATCACCCGATCGGTCACCTCGGTCAGCCGCTGGTACATCAGTAAATGGGGCTTGTCCACCTTCGATAGAACGCAATCCCAAGGCGGACAAAGACCATGAACCAGCCACACCAAAAGCAGACGGGGCACTCTCTCCGGGCATCTCCTTCTCTTCTAGATCGAAAGAGAAATCGATTTTACCACGTTGAGAACCTGGTGGCGGAGAGGAATGCCTGCTGTCAGAAAGAGCTCTTAGAATACGTCAGAGCCTAGTACTCGTATTATCGTTTGGGCGTTCGATGCGGTTCGGAAGGCGGACTCCGCTTAGGGAAGCGACTCCTTTCTCTTCTCCCTCTGTCCCTCTCGTCGTGAATCTGACTGATGACCAAACGTACTTTACGAGCATCCTCGATTTC